TTTTTTTTTTTTTTTTTTTTTTTATTATTATTCTTTTCAAACATATTAAAAAGTATTTTTCTTTAAATAGAATAGAAAAAGATTAAAAAAAAAAGAAAAATATCAAAATGTAAAACTGAAAAACAAAAGTATTTCAGTAGTATGAAATATCAGTATTTTTAATTTATTTTTTTTTTATTTTTTTTTGTTTAACAAATGTATATAAATAATAATATTTATCGAAAATGAAATCAGCTGATAAAGGAATATATATCATAATATGAAAATTCAAAAAAAAATACTTTAAAATATAAAAGTTTAGAAAGAATACTTTGGAGTTAATAGCACATTTTGTTGTAGTTATTTGTATTATTTCTGTTATTTATTTTTTTTTTCTCATCTTTGATTAATTTAAATTTTTTATATTATTTTCCTTAGAATATAATTTTAAAATTTAAGGTAAAATGGAGAGAAATGAATTTTATAAAAAATATCAAGAATATTATGGTCATAATGTAGATGAAATTCCAAGTATGGTAGAATTTAAAAAGATAGAATTATATGATTTGTATTCAAGTGTAATAAATCATGGCGGATATTCATGTGTTAGTAGAAATGCTAAGTGGCTAAAGATAGCAAAGGAATTTGGTTTAATAAATAAAGAAAAAAATATAAAATTAATTGAAACAAGAGAAATAAAAGAATATTATCTAAATTACCTTAGAGAATTTGAGAGAATACATGATAATATTAAAAAAGGGAAAATTGTAACAAAAAAATATAGAAGCTATTCAAGAATAAATAGTTTAGAAATGAAAGACAAAAAAAAATTAAAAAATAATAAAAACAAAAGTAAAATCGTTAAAGATGAGAATAATTTAAACAATTTATATGAAAATTTTTATTTCAATACTCATAATGATATAACAGAAAAAAATAATTTGATAGATAACGATAATAATGTAAATAATACAAATTATATGAATAATGTAAATAATACTAATTATATGAATAATTTAAATAATACAAATTATATGAATAATATAAATAATACAAATTATATGAATAATGTTAATAATATAAATAATATAAATTATACAAATTATACAAATTATATAAATTATATGAGTAATTATAATAGTGATACTATTAATTATAAAGGTAACAATAATAATAGTGATAATAATAGTTTGGTTAACTTTACTAGTAATGATAACAATAACTTAAATAATAACATGAATATTATGATTAATAACTTTAATAATTACGTTAATAATATTCATTATATAAATAACTTTACAAATGGTAATTATAATAATAATAATAATAACCACATGAATAATAATAATAGTTATATGAATAATTATTGTATAAATAGTGATATTAATAATAATATGCCAAATAACATCAATATAAAAAATGAAGTTAATAACCTTAATAATTATGCAAACACTAGTTATATGAATAATAATTACATAAATAATAATCACCTAAATAATAAAGTTTTAAATAATAACAATATCAATAATAATTATTTAAATAATAATTATACTAATAATGGAAATAATGTAAATAAATTTAAAGCTCAGAAATGTATAGACATCTATAGATTATTGTTGGCTATATATAAAAGAAAAGAAAAAATTGCTGATTTCATATTCTGTTTAAATATATTTTATTCTATATCCACCATGAAAGATATTGTATCAATGAAACAAATTAATATTATTATATGTTTGCTTTTGCATACTTTGGAGGATATTTTTAAAGTTTTTTATGAAGAATTTAATATTAAAAAAAGATCAATAAATATAATGATAGAATCATTCTCTCAATATTTAATAAATAATAATAATAATAATAAAATTATTAAAAATTTTATACACATTAATAGTAATTACATGATGGGATATTATGAAAATTTATCCAAATACAATGAAATAAAGAATGAGAATATAAAGAAAGATAATGATAAAAAAAGTAATTTAGGGGAATATAATGAAACACAAGTAAACATATAAAAAAAAAAAAAAAGATGATAATATATTAGCAATCATAATTATACTAATATATGTTTAAAAAAAAGATAATGTAATAAATTGTTTTCTTTTTCTATAACAATTTAAAAAAAATAAGAATTTGAAGTTTCTATTTTTTTTTTTTATTTTTTTTTAATATAAAATTATTATAATTTTTTTTTAATAATTTAAAAATATTAAAACAAAAAATTAAGTAATATAATTTTACTTTTTGTTTTCCTAAATATATTTATAATACCTATATGTATACTTTAATAAAAAATGAGAATTTCTTTTTTTTTTTTTTTTTTTTTCTTTTTATTAGGCTGTTAAAAATGAATATGATATAGAAGATTTAAACAAAAATGAAAATAATAATAATAATTGTAAAAATAGTACTAGAATAATGAACATTTTATTAAATAAAGAAATAAAAGTAAAAGATATTATGGACTTATATTTATCATATTATGACTACTATAAAAATAAAAAAAACAAGATTAAAAGGATAAAAAATATGAAAAATATAAAAAAAAAAAAAGAGAAAAAAAAAAAAAGGAGGGAAATAGGAATTACTGATAATAATGATACATTTCATTTTTCTAATTCTACTTATTCTAGTAGCATTAATAGTTCTGATATAGAAAATATAATTGAAAAAAAAAAGGATGAAAAATATACTTTAAATTTTTATAAAAACAAGAAAGACGAAGACGAATTTCTAACAAAAAAAAGTTGTGTTGAATTTATATATCTAATTTTATATATAATAAATAACTTATTTCTAATTAATAAGTATAATTTATATTATTCGTATATAAAAATATATTATAAGAAGGAAAGAAAAAAAAGACAAAATTATAAAAGTTTAAAAAAATCTAATTCTTATGAGTTTTTTTTAAATAAAAATGATGATTTTTTAAAAAAATTAGATCATTCATCTTGTGATCAATTAAAAAAGAAAAGGAAGTTTGATAATCAAAGTTTATCTAACTCAAAGGAAAGTTTAGATGAAAGTATTTCACAAGAAATTTCGCAAAGTGTATCATCAGCATCATCGTCAATATGTAGTATGTATAGTTATAAAAGTAAAAAATCAAACAAATTAACATTGAATAGAGGAATAACTAGATTATATGCAAAAATTTTAAATAATAAAAAAAAAATATCTAGAAAAAATGAAGAATTAAATAAAATAAACTTTAATGAAAGTTTTGAGAAAACTCATAGAATTCCTAAATCTAATAATTCATGCGAAAAACAGAATTTGCCTTTAATTACATTTGAACAAGAGGATATAGATATGAATAAAAAGACAATACATAATAAATTTTATGAAAAAGAATTATTTAATTGTACTACTGATGATATAAAAGAAGAAAGTATATCGAAGAATTATATTCCTAAAATAAACAACATAAATCTAAATAAAAGTAATTGCAATAATATTTTTTTAAAAAATCCAACGTATAATATGAATGATGGCAATTTTAATCAAAATACAAACTATTTTATGCATAATAATTTGAATTCTTATAATTTAAATCATTATTTGAATAACTTTAAAAATAATTATAATAATTCATTGAAAGTTTATTCCCATTTCTATAATATATTCAATCATAATAACAGTAATAATATGCTTATTAATAATTTTAATATACATAATAATTTAAGCAACCCATACAGTAATTATATAAATTTTAAAAACAGTAAGAATAATATTAATACACTTTGTAATGGATATAATGAATGTTTTAAAATAACAGAACCTATTAATACAAAATATAATGATGATATAATCATGAATGATGAAAAAAATACAAATAAAGACTCATTATCTTACGAAAAAAAAAATGAAAATTATAATAACCTTGAAGACAAAAAAGATAATAATAACGATAATAAAATAAAAGAAAGAAATAATAAAACATATAAATTCCTTGATATGAAATATGAAAAAGTAATAAGTGATAATGAAAATAATATTACAGAAAGAGTAATAGAAAAAGAATTAAATATTGGGGATAATCTGAATTATCAAGAAAATTACAACGATAAAGATGAAAAAAATAAATTTAATAAAGAGGATAATAATTGCAATAATGATGATAAAATAAATAAAAATATAGAAATAAGTAATAATTACAATGGAATTAATACTAAAAATTTTAATAAAGACAATATTAATGAAAATAATATTATAAATGAAAGTAATAATAAAAACATTATAAATAGTAGTAACGATGAAAATATTGTAAATAATAGTAATGATAATAACAAAAATAACAAGATTCATCATGATAACAATAGTAATAATAATAGTGATTTCACTATTAATAATATTAGTAGCAAAGATGACACAAATGATTATAATAATAAAAGTGATTGTAGTGATAATATAAATTGTAATAATAATAATAATAATAATAATAATAATAATAATAATAATAATAGTGATTGTAATGATATTAATAATGATTGTAGTGATAATATAAATTGTAATAATAATAATAATAATAATAGTGATTGTAATGATATTAATAATGATTGTAATGATAATATAAATTGTAATAATGATAATATAAATTGTAATAATAATAATAATAATGATTTTAATAATAATAACAGTGATTGTAATAATAATAGTGATTATTATAATAATGATAATAATAATAAGATAAATAATAAGAATAAGAATGAGAATTCTATAAATAATAATAGTGATGAAAATGTAATAAATAATAATTATAATTATTATAGTAATATTATAAATATAAGAAATAATGATGAAAACAGTTCAATTAATATAAATAATGATAATAATAATAAAAATATTACAAATATAAATTATCATAATATAAGTAATGATACTGAAAATAATAAGAAAAATACGAAATATTTTAATAATTCATGCTCATTTATAAATAATAATAATTCACGTAATTTAAATTATATTTATCCAAATAATGATAATATGAATAATTTTGTAAATTATAATTACACAAATATTAATAATGATAATTTTTTATACAACAATGAAAATCATAACAATATTAATTTATCATATCCATTTAACATTAATTTTTGCAACAATGGTTTTAATTATTATAACTTTAACTCAGAAGAAAAAATGAACTGGAATTTTAATAATTTATTTATGTTAAAACCTTTATTTGAAGGAAATCATATATCTTCAAATAGTAAGTGTAATCAAAAAGACATAAATAAATATTTTATGATCAATAATGATTTTAATGTTAGTAATTTAAACAATTATTGTTACAAAATTAATGATAATTCTCCTATGTTAAGTAGTTATGTTAATAATATAGATAACATGACTTGTATATTAAATGATAATAATAATTATTATATTAAGAATAATAATGATAGAAATAGAATTACTAATAATGTTTGTGTTACTAATGTTAACAAAAGCAATAATGAAAATAGAAACAACGAAGGTATTAATGAAAATGATGATGATGATAGTAATATAATCAATAATAATGATAATAAAAATATTCATCTAAATATAAAATCAAATAATAATAATAATAATAATAATAATACAGAATATATTTCAGAAAGTTCTTATAAATCAGTTGAAGATAATAATAAACAAAAAGTAAGAAAAATTTACAGAAATATAAAGAACAGCATGTATGAAGATATGAAAAAAATTTTCAATCAAAAAAAAATAAAAGAGAATAAATATAAATTAATGCATTATTTTGATTTAAGTAAATTTATTAGTCTGTTTGAAACAATATTTTTAAAAAATTTTGAAAATATTCTCTATCATGAAAAAGTTGTTCAGAATATATATATTAATATGTTTATTTGTATTGATATATTAAATAATGAATTAAGAAAAAATATTTCTTTAAAATATGTATTTTTTCCGATAAATTTTTTAGAATATAAAAATAAGTTTAAGATTGTTGCACATTTCGATAACAATAACAAATTCTTAGTAAAATCTAAGTGTTTAAAAGTAGAAAATAAAGAAATTAAAAAATATGATATTTATGAAAGAAAATCAAACAAAGGTAAAAAAGAAGATAGTTTTAACATAAATGAAGATAGAAATAGTAATCCACCTGAAAATTTGCATAATGATAAAATAGACAATATTTATCTTAATAATTTGATATATTACTCAGAATCAGAAAGTAGAGAAAATATTAACTTCTTAGAAGAAACAAATGAAAAAGAAAGAAAGATTGAATATAAGAATGATTCAAGTAATTATGTAGAATATGAAAATAATGATTTCAATGAGAAAAAAATTCCTATAAAAGAATTAAATGGATATGAATATAGAAAAAAAATGAAAAGATTATTTTTAAGGATTTTTAGGAAAAATAATAACAAATATAATATTTATAAAAAAATTGATTTAAAATATTTAAAAGAAAATTATAATTACTATGGTATGATATCTTGTAAAGAAAAACAAAAGTATAAAAAGTCTATAATATTAGACTTACATGAAATTACGAAAAAAATTTTATTAAAAGTATATAAACGAGTTAATAGTTATTTAAATATAGCTATTTTATCGTTGAATATATTAACATATATACTATATTTAATACCTAAAAAAATGTTTGTTGTATCTTTTATTCCATATATTTTAAATAAAATTATTAATGTAAAATGCATATACTCATATTTGAACATTCCTTTATGTATTTTAAATTATAATGGCTTTCTTTTTTTAGAAACTATGATGAAATTTATTACTCAAATGATAATAAATAATGTCATTCCTATGCATTCATATATATTGTCATTTTTGCGTATATGCTCAGTCCCTTTGTATATATTTTTATACTTTGATATACCATTATCTCATACACTTATCCTTACTTCGTTATCAGCTATATATCAACTAATAACATATGATGCTAACTTTTTAGCAACAGGAATTATTAAAAAAAAAACTTTTAATGAAGAACATTCATTAAATTCTGATAAAAATAATAATTCAAATAATATAAAAAAGAAGATTTCAAAGAATTGTAAAAAACAAAAAATTTTCGATAATTTAGAAAAAGAAAATTCAGCAGAGAAATCACCAAAAATGTATGAAATATATGAGGATAATATTTTATCAAATGAAATATATGAATGTAGAAAAGATAATGAAAAATTTAATACAAATAAAGATGAGAATAAAAATGAAGATGAAAGTGTATATGAGTTAAGTGAAGAGAGAAAAGCGTTATTAGAAGACATATTTTTAAGAACTCTTTTATTGTTTTTGAAAAAATCCATTTATTTTAAAAGCATTTTTAATTCTGCTAATATAAATGAGAGGGAAGAAATGCTAATAGATAGCAAAAAAGTTGAAACAATTTTAAATCAATTTAATATTAATAAGGAATTAAAAAAAGAGCAAAATGAATTATATTTTTCTAATATAGAGAATAAGGTTTTTTACTTACATGATAATTTACTTTTATATGCACTTGATAGTTTAACAATTTCAAATCATGCTAAAGATATTAAAATGTGTAAAAACATAAAAAAACAATATGAAAATTACAGTACTGCGGAAAATACATTTTCACAGGATTTTTTATCATCAGAAAATTCAGAAATACAGAGGTTAAGCATTTATGCTCATTCTATAGTATCTATTCTTTTGTTTTTATCATCTCATAACATTTTGTGGGAGTGTTTAGCATCTCATATTCCTTTAATTACTCATGTAATTATAAAAAAATATGCGTTCAATATCAAGAATAATTTTTTATCATCAATTTTTTTATGAAATTCAACTCAATATATTCATAGAAATATTAATTTTATTTAATAAGTTGATTACATTATAGGAAATATTTTATCTATTCAATTTATAATTATTACTTTTAAATTTTTACTTTGCATATATTTTTATATATAATAAGCTGATTATAATTTTATTCTATTTTTTTCATTTTTAGGTGGCATTTATTCAAACAGATATTACTCCATCCTTATGGGTCATTTTAAAAGAGTATTATTTCCGAAATTACATGAAAGAAAAAAAAAGTAGGATAAATTCTAGTAAATATCTTGATTCCAAAATTATAAAAATTGAAAAAGTTAAATGATGTTTTTAAAAATACCTATATATACATTTTTTTCCTATTTTATTTTTATTTTTTTTTTTTTATGTGTTTACAAAAATATATTTAGTACATAAAGTACATACTTTTATTTTCACATTTATATTATCTTTATTTATATGTAAATGTAGGTATGACTTTTACAATGTGTAAAATATTTTTTTATTTTTCTTAATTTTTCAAAAATTAATGGTTACCTACTTTTATTTATTTATTTATTTATTTTTTTTTTTTTATTTAAGTTTTATATTATATGGTCTTACAAAAATTTTTTAAGATATAATTTTTACAACTATAAAGATTAAAAATAAATATATTTTTATTTTTTTTTAAAAAGTATAAGTTGAAAAATGTAGTAAAAAAATTACTAAAAATAATGAAGTATATAAATTATATATATATATATGTTATATTTTTTACAAAAAAAAAACAAAATATGTCTTTACAATTCTGTATAGCATTTCAAATTAAAAATATAAAGGGTATAGATTAAATAAGTAATAATAATAAACTAATTATGAAATTAATAAGCAAATACATGTTAAGAATAGACAAATATATATGCAAATAAAAGAAAAATAAGTGAATATCAAAAATTAAAAAAAATATATTTATATTTGCTTAGAAGAAAGAATTATAGATATTTAAAACAAAGGTATATCAAGATAAAAAAAAAAAAAAAAAAAAAAAAAAAAAAAAAAAAAACATATATATAATTAACAAAAAAAAAAAAAAAAAAAAAAAAAAAAAAAAAAAAAAAAACATATATATAATTAACAAAAAAAAAAAAAAAAAAAAAAAAAAATGAAATAAACAAATTAAAAGAAATTACTGATTTGTAATAAAAATAAAAAAAACTATACATGTATATATATATTTTATTTTTTTTTTTTTTTCTGATGAAAAAATTGCTATAATTTTATAAGCTTTGTTAAGGAAAATAAAAATATTTTAAGAAAACAAAATATAAAATAAAAAAGAAAAAATTATGTTGTATCAAACCAAAAAACAACACTAACAATAAGATATGCTGAGATTAATAGGACTCCTTCTAACCAGTTACTTTCACCATCCTGTACAATTGCCATAGTAACGATAACAGAAATAACTAAAATAACTGTAGATAGAGGAGAAAAAGCTAAAGTCATTGGTTTATTTAATATCCATCCAAATAAAACAGTTACTGGAACAACAAAAAGAGCAATTTGTGCAGATGACCCAACTGCTACACCCATAGTTAAATCTACTTTGTTTTTAATTGCAACCGTAACTGCTGTTAAATGCTCTGTAGCATTACCAACAATTGGTAAAAGAATAACTCCTATAAAATTTTCTGATATGTTATAATATTTTATAACTGATTCAATTGTGTTAACTAGATATTCTGAGTGAATACTTACTAATAAAGTAACTAAAATTAGGAAAAGAGATCCTGATACTACAGATAACTGAGGAATTTCTTCTGTCATTTCTTTATCTTGGAACAGTGTAATATGTGTGTATAATTGAAACAAAAGAAATAAACAATATGTTAAAAATATTAAAACCGCTGTTATTCTTGAAACTTTCAAAATTATTTCACTATTATTATTAGTAGTAATTGATGATACTGTTGGCATAGTTATAGCCAAACTTGAAAGCAATAGTAGGGAGGTACTGCAAGTTGCTCCCTTTTCATTAAATTTTTGTACATGGTGATATAATCCACCAGCAAAAAACGACATTCCTAATACTAATAACAAATTAGATAAAATACTACCTAATAATGTACCCTGAACAACATTTATCAATCCTGCATTTAATGCTTGTATAGAAAAAATCATCTCCATTAAATTACCAAAAGTTGCATTTAATAAACCACCAATTATCTCTCCTGTATGCAAAGCTAAATCTTCTGTTATATTTCCCATAAGTGCAGATAGTGGTATTAATGCCATAAAATTATAAAAAAATATATATATATCTTTACAACCTAAAAAAGAACTTAATATTCCTATTGGCACAAATATTAAAAATATATTTAATTTTGTATTTAACATATTATATAATCCTATCATGTCACTTTTCCTAGGCATATAAAAAGATCCTATTTCTTCAAAGTCATAGTTTTTACTTATATCTTCATCATATACATCTGGTGGTACATTATTACATAATAATTGTAGATGCAAATTTCTATTTCGAATTAAATTTGTATCATTTAAAACATTTGAATTTTTAAATTTTTTAGTAGGGGGTACATTTTTATTTAAGGGTTGAGATATTGTACGTCTTACATAAGACGTTGCACGAACTCTTCCCATGACCATTTTTAATCAAAATTAATGTAAAATTAAAATATTAAAAAAATTAAAGAGATAAAAGAAAAAATTATAATAATAAATTTAATAAAAATTATAATAAGAAAGTATTAAAATAATAATAAAAAAAAAAAAATAAAATAGAAAAAAAATATATTGAACAATATTAAGAAAGCAAATAAAGAGAAAATAATATTTCATTGGTAATACAGAGATATAAAAAAAAAAAGAAAAAAAAAAAAAGAATATGTTAACTACTTGTTTTTATACATATATAAATAATAAAAAAAAAAAAAAAAATAATATTTAGTTTTAGCTTCTTTTTTTTTAACATATTTCTATATGAAATTTTAGAAAATTAAAAGAAGAATATAAAAGTGTAATTCTAATTTGTTTACCTTATTACTAATATCATATAATATATTCATTAGAAAAAAAAAAAAAAAAAAAAATTTTATAAACTAAACATTTCTTAGGTTCTTATTTAATTCTTTTATAATATAAATTCTTTAAAATTTCATACTTTTAAGTTGTATGTTTTAAGACTTTGTTATATAATTTTATATTTAAAATTTTTTTTTTTTTCAAATACATTTTTTTTTATTTTCATATATATTTTAAAAATTCTATTAACTCATTCATTTGTGTAAACAATTATAAGTTTACTTTTTTTTTTTTTTTTTTTTTTTTTTTTTTCTATCCTACTTGGTATTCATTTTATATATTTGTTTACCTTCTTTATTTTTTGAACCAGGTTTTATGTATCCATTAATCTTCATTATATATATAAAACTAAAAATAATATAATTTCTAAATATATTCTTTTTATATTTTTTTGTAATTTAAATTATCTTTTAATATATTCTAAAGAATAAATAGAATTTTTTCCTTTTCAATATATATATAAAATGAAAATAAACCAATTCAATTAGAATGAATAATTTATATAAAATAAGATGTATATATATATATATAAGTTTAATGGGATAATAATCAAGTCAATTTTTTTTTTTTTTTTTTCATTCTATTTTTCATTTTTAATGTATTTTTAATAAAAAAAAAAAGAAAAAATGAATAAAATGTAAGGATGCGTGTGTTGTTATAATATTCATGTAAATTTTTTGTAATACACATAATTTTATTTAAGAAAAAAAAACTAAAACAAATAGTTAATAAATAAAAAAGAATGATTAGTTTTTTTTTTTTTTTTTTCTCATAAATGTCAAATATATCAATATATTAAAAAAAAAAAAAAAACTACATAATTTTGAGCAAAAGAAAAAAGATATATCTTATCTAAAAATATAAAAATAATATTATGTGTAAAATTAAATAGTACGTAAAAAAATCATACAAAAAAAAAAAAAAAAAAAAAAAATCTTAATTTTTTTCGTTTTAAAAAGGATTTATAAATATGTAACTAATTTTGTTCAACATATAATATAGACATAAAAAAAATAGATATAAAAGAATATATAATTTTATTTTTATTTAAAAATTTTTTTTTTATTTATATAATATATATTAATCTTAATAAAAATTAAGAATTAACATGAAAATTTATAAAGTAAAAAGATAAAAGAAAAAGATATATGAAAAAGTAAAGAAATATTGAAAAAAATAATTAAAAAAAGTGGGAAGAAAAATTAAAATTATAAAAACACAGAATTATTTTAATAGTTCATTTTACATAAAAAAGGTTATTTAAAAAAAAAAAAAATATTGAAATAAAAAAATGTTAGATAAATGAAGATATAATATATTTAAAATTTCTATGAGAAAAAAGTGTAAATTTATAAAATCATAGGAATCCCTTATAATATATAAAGGCTTATAAAGATATAAAAAAAAAAAAAAAAAAAAAAAAAAAAAAAAAAAAAAGAATAATATATATATCATTTGCAAATTCTATATAATTTAAAAATAAAGATTTAATTTTTGAAAAGAAAATATTTTATCATGTTATAAATAAATATATAGTTTTAAAAATGCATATATATATATATATATATGTAGATACATTTTTTTAATCTTTCAGATTTGAATTTTAATTATTTATATTACTAATAAATTTTATCTTTATAAAAAAAAAAAAAAAATAAAAATAATAATAAAATGAATAAATTAAAAACAATATATTAATTATTTATATTTATAGTAATTTCTTTATAAATTATTTTATTTTATATTAAGAAAAGATAAATCATAAAAATGTTGTATAAATTTTTTAATCTTATAAAAAAATCATTTTTAAAAAAAAGAAAAAAAAAAAAATGAAGTTATAAAAATTCTTTTAAAAACATAATTTATGTCATTATCTTCGTAATAATTTAACTTTTGATTTTTTATTTAAAAAAGATAATTTTTGTAAACACATTTTTTTTAATTAGTGTTTATATTATATATATATATATCAAAGTATGATTTAATACAATTGTTATTTTTTATATTTACCTATGTAAAGATATATGTATCGGCATAATCAAATCATTTAATTTTTTTATTATAAAATATGATTTCCCGATATTGAAGAATTATTGTATAAATATATATATATATATATATATTTATTTATTCATTTATTTATCTATTTTATTTATTTATTAAATTGATTTTTTTCTTTTTTCCCTTTTTTTTTTTTTTTTTTTTTTTTTTTTTTTTTTT